GAAAGAGAATATATCCATCTAAGTCTGTATATCTTTATATATATGAATCTGTATCTGAGTCTATATATACACTCTCTATGTAAATCTATATATAGAGATTTATGTAGATTTATGTCTATATGTACTCTATTAATATTAAAGCACTCACGCTCTTCACTGACACAGTTGTAGAAATGACACCACAACTGGGGGACAACCATAATTAAAAATAAACATAACAATGTATGCAAATAATTTCACACAAAAAAATATTGTAAAGGATTCTATTTTATTCTTTGTTTGGATTGTTTTTTTTTTTTTATAATGGACTGATATGCTCATTGAAGATTAGAAAGTGTCAACACTTTAAAGGGTAAAACGATTCAATCTAAAGCAAAAAAAGTAGGAAAAGTAAATGATGGAAACAAAATAATAATAATAAAAATAATAATATGACAACGAAAAGAACACATTCTAAATCTGTAAGTAAATTTGAAGAAAAATCAACCCCTGGGACATAAGAGTGTCCAAAGCTGAAGAAACACCCATATGTGCAAATTACATTTGATTTTATTATATTTGGTCTTGGTGAAGCTCGTGTATGTGTAATCACTTATCAAAAACAGTCATTGAAAACTCTGTGTGTAAGCTGATATTGTGGTTTCCAGAGTGAGGATGACGTGTAATGTGTGATGTGTTTCTGTGTGTGTCTTCAAAGCTCCTCAGGACGTGTTTGAGACGTCTGAGCAGAGCGGCTGTCCTACGCCAGGCTGTAAAGGAGTGGGTCACATCAAAGGAGCCCGCTACTCTGGACACCACAGGTCAGTGTGAATATGTGTGAATAAAAAAAACTACAAATATACATATACATATATGTATGTATATTCTATTTAAAAAAAATGAACCAATTAATCACACATTTTTCTGTAATTAATCTTGATTAATTGCATATTGATATAATGTATTTGTATTGTCATCATTTCATATTGAATCTCCAAATTAATGTAGAAACAACATAAAGATGGTATATTTGAAATGTGTTTAATGGCATCTGTTTACTAAGTAGCCTATCTAGATTAATCTTTATTCAAGCTACAAAAGTGAGTCAGCGAGCAGAGCAGTGAGTGATTTCTCTTTTTCTTTTTTTGTTCTTTGATTTACATCAATGACAGACTGCAGCAGGTTTCACTTTAAAAGCAGCGCTGTCTCTTTAAAAACTGACGCACGTGAGCGGATCTGACACACATTCGAATTTCTCCCAGTTCATTTAGGACTTTTTAACCAATTTAAGACTGTGTTTATGAGGTCACTGGCCAAAAACAAGCATTTTGACATGTTTTTATCCATAGAATCATGCTGTTGCTGATGTATTTCACAACTCATTTTTGATCTAATTTCCCATCTCCTTCACATGCTGCATTAAATTTGTATATGTGCCATTTTGTGTTGGCGCTTTGGAAACAAAACAAAATTTACAAAAAAACAAAACAAAAAACAAGTGAAGAAAGCTTCGGTATCTGTGCATTTCTCCGTCTTCTGCATAATCGATACCTTGCAACAGCTGTCACTCTGATGACACTAACATACGGTGGTTTGGAACCAAAAAAACTAAGCGTGAACACAATCCAGCAGAGGAGGGGAATCAGTCGAACTCGGGTTCGAACATGCATTTTAAGAGTCAAATAATTCTTTAATGCTGTAATGTATGTACTATTGGGTAGTAGGGGTGCAACGGTTCAACTTCCTCACAGTTTGGTTTGTATCACGGTTTTAGAGTCACAGTTTCGGTATGGTTCGGTATGTGCTATGTTTATGGAAAACTATATTGTCAAATAAAATAAATAAAATAAGAACAAATAATCTAACTACAAGTAACAGCACAAATAAATAAACAGTGAATAAAATATACAAATAAAATAAACAGTGCTCTTCAGTTTTTTTTAGGTAGGTCTAAGATAGTTTTTAGGTACAGAAATTGAATAAATCAAATGTAAAATAACATTGCATATTTGACTGTATAAATGAAAGATTAATCCTTATTAAAGTTACAAAAGTTATTGTCAAGAGCAGTGAGAGATTTCCGTGTTGTTATGTTCAAACTTTTTATTAAAACAAATATTATTACAACAAGAAAATAGATTACAAATTTTTAACACTTTTTTTTTTACATTTTAAGACCAAACACAAACATAATACATAACCTATATAAAAAAAATAAAATAAATAACAATAAAAAAAGAGAAAAAAAAGTAATAAAATAAATAAATAAATAACTACAAAACTATCATAAAATAAAGAATACAACTAATTATAGAAAATAGTAGTCATTGTAATACAAATAGATAAAATACAATATATACTTAATACAAATATATATAGCC